TGTGTGTGTGTGTGTGTGTGTGTTTGTGTGTGTATGTTTATATAATTATGGATATGTCGGTCTGTGTGTTTGTGGATATGTATGTGTATATGTATATGGGCGTCATTAAAAATGTTAGGAAGACTTCCTCTTAAAAATTTGACAATTCTGGGTCTCATATTGCTTATTTAATAGTTTTTGGAGTTATTTTTCATATTTTATATTTACACTGTTATTACATTCTGATTATTTTTAAGCTATATGACTGATTATTATTTTGCAGTTGACTTGACTATTCATTATTTCATTGATATATTGCATTTATTATGATGTATTATGTGATTATAAATAATTTAATGTTTGAGTTGTACATTAATGACCTTCGGTCAACAGGTGAAGAAAAACAACATAGTCATGCATAGTCAGCGAAGCTCAGTTTTACTACATTCATCAAGAATTGTTAATGAATTATAGTTGATTGTGAATAAATGACCTTTGGTCAACAAAAGAAAAAAAAATAATAATATTAATAATAATAAAGAATAAGAATAATAATGAAATAAAGCGCCGGTATCCGTTTAACAGGAAACACTCATGGCGCCCCTCCAAAAGGAAGTCGAAATGTGAAATACATTGTTTATCTTTCAGCTAATGACAGACAAGATCGTTATTTAAATGGAACCTCATTGGAAATGTTCTGGACTCCGACCTATTGGGCGTTCCTGATGCTCGGTAATGTTACTTTTCGTGATCTCAATCCATTTGTTATCTTGCTTGTGCATGTTGAGCATCGATAAATTCAATCAATCATTCAAATATATTATATCATGAAAAATGTTTGTATGAAGATATAGTTATACTATTATGTTTATTGTTTGAATATACTTTATTTATGAATCAATATATTAATTTCTATTGAATAGTATACTTTTTATAAATTTTATTTACTCATGACAATCGGAATGTTAACATAATTTGTTTGCGCTATTGCGATCTATAAGTCCTACTGAATACCATGTATTTAATAATCCTCACATAATTCCGTAATATGATGATGCTATAAATAATTATAATGCTGATATGATAAGAATTGTGAAGTACTATTATGTTGTATCAGCAGCATTGTCCATTGCGATAACTGAATACGATAATGTTAAGGTTGGGGTGCACACTAATTTTTCAGTGGCGGACTTAAGGGGGTGCGGGTGGACAACCGGCCTGCCCCCCCCCCCCATCCCTAAATATTTTAAAATGGTAAAAAAATTGAGGGAAAAAAAAAGAAAATTACATTCAAATTTAAATTCTGAGAGTGCCATTTCTGGCCATATAGAGGTGCCATAATCAAAAAGTTGCTTACCTCCGCCCCAACCATGGAGGGGCTGAGGTGGTGGGAACCCTTCATTTGGCATACTCCATTATAATTCTTTCTCTGTTTCTTAATCTTTTCTCAATATTTTTCTATTCCAGTAAACTGCCAGTAAAGTAGACAGAGAAGCCACAACTATCAGAAAAGAATGTCCGGACTGAAAGGACTACAGAACTTACAATTTTTTATAGATAGCCACAAATTGTGTCACTCATCAAGCTTCTGGATATAAAATTAATTAAAATATAGTGTGAATTTTATTTTTTAAATATTTTCCTCTGCAAAAATCTCAAAATGTTAGCAATATGTATTAATTATTGTAGGCTGTAAGGTTATTAATATTGTATTATTACTGCTAATGTATTTCTTATTAATAAAGTAACCCGTTTGTTGTAAAGAATATAGACATGTAAGATAATAAGATATAACATTTTGATGATTAAAGTCAGGTACTTATAGGTCTATATAAATAATGTATACATGTATCCCAACTTGATTTTAGTGCTTGAAAATAAATATCAGATGGAACTGTGCATCTCTTCTAATGTTATTTAATGTCTGTGTTTACTGCAATAAATTCAATAGCTAAAATATTCTTATTATAAGCTTATACCAAAAGTGAAGAATTGCTTCATCAATATGTGCTACTTTAATTATTAAACTAACAATTCTTTCGAGGACACCCTCAACAAAAACATAAAACCGGAAATGACGTAGTGCTAAGCAACAAGCTCATGCATAATCATGAATATTGAGTGACACCTGTTCTAATTAGACTAACAATAAAATCTTTTTGGTCGATTTTGTCAAAACTGAGCTAAAAGTTTTTATTGTTAGTCTAATGAGCACAGGTGTTACTGAATATGCATGAGCTGTAGCCTAGCAACCGACGTCATTTCCTGTTTTGTAAAATTCGACAGCACTTTTTTCTGAAAACAGTAATTTTGATACTGAAGAGGAAACCCCAGTACAAAGAACAAATAAAAATAAATAAAGTTTCGAAATTTGTTGGTATCATGTGAATACATTTGGAAAGAGTGTTTATAAGATATGGTAGCCTGTAATAGTGCTATATTCGAATTGATTATAATATATTTAATTCAAATATACAGATTAATAATAATGATATATATAATATTATTATTAATGCAATTACGACAAAGGAAGTACACACAATGATGTATTATAAATTAAACACAGTTTACTTTTATTTCTTAAATAACTCGGAAATGTTACATCAGAACTATATAAACATAATATAAATAGAATATAAAGATTCTAGTTTTATATAGTATAATATAATATAATATAATAATGCTTAGGCCTAATTATATTTAAGTATGTAATGTTTGAGAATTACTTGTTCGTTGTATAAAAAACATAGGCCTAACTGATAAATTTGATTCAATTCCGGCGATCCAGTGATGTAACGCCTAATAAATATCCGCGCACGATTATTTGTAGAATTAAGACCTCATAAATCCAGCAGTGATAGCATTTTATGTTCCGGCCATTTAATACACATCGTGTTCCGCTGAATGATTGTACATCGACTTCCCACTTATTGATGGATCGGTAGATTTCACCTGAGACACTGAAATAAAAGAGGATGAACTAGTGAGAAATACATTCAAACTACTGTATTTTCATTTTCCGCATCTGTGTTAAATCTCATTAGATTAAAAACACTTTTTGGAAACTTTATGACATTCATACCTTCATGAGGTATAGAAATAAAAATTCAGAAAATAAAATTGATCGTTTGATTGATTTAATACATTATGTAAAGTGCACATTTTAATAAAGCGTTATTTTAATATGAGCTCCCAAACATCCCACCTCAAAACTGTCCAAAAGACAGTCAAAAATATACTGAATAAACATTTTTTTTTTTTGTGTAATAAAACTTTAAAGCAAATATTAAGTCTTAACATTTTAACCAATACTCTATCGGACCCCTGTATCGTCCTATAATAACAAAGATGCGGTCCAACCTGCTTTTCCCCACAACGGCACCTGGAGTTTTACGTGACCCCTCCACATTTGGTATAATCATTACATCTTGTGTTCCTATCTGAGCACTGTTATTATTTATATATTTATTTATATAGCATCC